TAAAGTAGAGTTTGGTGTACACTAGTTTGAATGCGTCTCTAAAAAATAGGCATAAACAAGTTTTCTCTATGATTTTTATTTTTATGTACAAAAACCAAAATTATTCAAGGTAAAGGGAACATTACTATTTACATCTATCGTGTCTTTCAGGACTAAAATATAATTGTAGATGCACTTGCAAAAATAAAAAAAATATAGGAATAGCTGGAGATAGTTAGCTACCTCACTAGTGGATGTACACCAATTGTCGCAACAAGAAAAGTTGAAATGTAATTGACCAGAACGTATGTTTACGAGTAACCTCTCTCGAGGCTTGCGATTTCACCCTATGATATGATCTAAAAACAAAACAGGATTGTTCTTATATATTTCTTCCGTCCCAAACACATCCTCATTTTCTTTGGGATGTCATAAAATATTCTTCTTTTTTTTGGAAAACTTTTTGTATCTCGTCTTTTCTCCTTCTACAATGCATCATTTTCATCCATCAATTTCACTTTTTAAAACTGGGTGTAAAGCTGAACAAGGCAGATAAATTTGGAACGGAAGGAGTATATAATATGGAGTATGGTATAATTACTCCGTAATTAGTAAAGTCTATGCATGACTTTGTAGACCATTACTTTGGTCCAAGCAAAAGAAGTCCACCACATTCCACTGAGTAGGCGAGGTGTCATGAAAGACAGGCCAGGCCCATGTAATGATCTAAGAATATATGGACCTATTGGATGGATATGGTCAAGAAGATTGATGTTGTGAGCTCATATAATCTAGTTAACAGAATTTTTTGGATCATGCCTTTTCGCAAATAAATAAAATGTGAGACTGTTTTACGTAAATTTACATTTTTTTTTAAAAATTTAAATTTGTGTTTTTAAAAATATAAAAATATACTCTTGTTAGAGATTTGTCTCACTTTTTTTGAAAAAATATAACGATTTAAAATTTTTGTTTTATATTCCGGTACAAATATAATATTAGATCGAAAAATAATTTCAAGTATCACCCGACAAATAAATTGCAATACATAAAAAGTGTAGTGAGTTATAAAATCATTTAGTGCCTTTTTAGAGGAAAAAAATTATTGTGTCATTTTCACAACATTTGAAATATTATTTTGAGGAAAAAATTTGTACCTACTGAATTATCGAAACAAATTACAAGTTGTGTAGTTCCATTTTAGAAAAATAATACAAGTAATAAATGTTCATGAATATACATTTCGAACTGTTGTTCATGAAAAAATTGTAATACGAAAAAAAGTGTATAGTAGTGAGTTATAAAAATAAAAGTTCCATTTCAGAAAAAAAATTATAGTGTTATTTTAACTACTGTTGTAATGTTGTTTTTCAAAAAATTATTATATAGAATTATTAAAAAATATTCATAAATTTTGTAGTACTGTTTTAAAAATAATAATAATAGTACAATATCAAAAAATAAATTGAAGTGTCACTCAAGAATAATTACAACTTACAAAAAAATATAGTGAGTTATGAAGTAAATAAATCCATTGTGTAGAATAATTTATTGTTCAATCATTCCCAGATTCTCAATTATTGAAAAAATAAATACTTTCACTCTTAAGAGAACGCTTAAATTTGGTGGAGTGGTATTTATAAAAATACTAGCATTTTAACCCGTGCCATGCACGAGGTGAAATGAATTTTTTGTTTTGATTTTTTATTTTTCTTCATTACAACAAATTTAAAAAATCAAAAAAATAAAACACCAACCTTAAAAGTTAAAATATTACTCTCTCCATTCCGGAAAACATGAGAGTTTTGATTTTGAAAAGGAATTTAAGGGGAGTGTATTTTGGTATTGAATTTCCAAAAATGTCCTTTGATGTGATGGGTAAAAGTATGATTTGATGTATAGATTATTAGTAAAAAAGTATGATGTGATAGGTAGGGTATGAAAAAGTAAGGGGTAAAAGTGACTTTTTAATAGAAATGAGAAGTGTTTTTTGGGACGGATGAAAAAAGAAAAAAATGTTTTCAGAGACGGAGGGAGTATAAAATAGGTCAAAATGGGATGTTTTTTAAGGGACGGAGGGAGTATATTTTATTTTATTATAAGTCAAGAGTGAAAACAGTTGACCTAAAAAAGTTAAAACTGGACAGGGACAAAGGGAGTAACATTTTTGTATGATTGATAAGGACTGCCAAAAACATCTAAAACTTATAATTTCAACCTAACTTTTTTTCTTACTCACTAAATAATAATATTGGTGGAATTATTAAGAGCATGAAACACTTTGTTGCAATATGTTTCCACAATGATATGCCTCCAATCTTTGTTCTTGATCTAGCATAAAGCTTCATTTATTTCAATTACTTCCACTTCTTTAGGTCTAAAATATCATCTACAGTGCAAATTATGTGCAGCGACTAAAGCCATTGATAGTTTCGAGCAATAAAATCGAAACCTGAGACCCTATCGGCCAATCGCGTTGAAGCATCCACATTAATCTTGACATAGACATTATACAACCGCCATTCATAGACAAAAATATGATTCTCCCCACTTTAGTTTAAATTATCAAATAAAATTGATTCATCTCCCTGCATTAATATGATTCTCCTACCTCATATTGATTAAAAAATATTATTTTTCTTTCCACGGATTAATTAAAAAATATATTGTGACTCTATTATTATTCTCCTTGCATTAATTATGATTCAAAGAGAATGATTCTTTAATTTTGCATCACTGCATTAATTTTGATTAGCAAAATAAATATTAATCATCACTCCCGCACTATTATGATTTTCCTCTCTCGCATTGATTAAAAAAATATCAGAATGATTCTTCTCCCTCAGCACAAGTCAAAAATAAAATCTTAGATTAGCAATCCTATGATTCAAAAAATAAAAATAAAAAATAATTAAAAATCCAATGATTCTATTCATTAGCATTATTTTAAAAAATTAATTTAAAAACATATTAGCGATCCTATGATTTTGAATAGAAATTTACAAACATATTTGATACTATTGATAGAATGATAGTTGTTTTTTTGTGTTTTTTTCATTTGAATACAAATTTACTCCTTTTTTAAAATTTATTTAACTTAAATATTTGATTATTTTGAAAATAGTCTAGTCGTTTGTAGTATATTTTTATATTTTATTTTATAAAATATATTTATATTTTATTTTATATCAATATTTTATTAGTAAAATCAAAATTAACTTCATTTGAGCATGTCATAAAAATATGACTTCTTAGATGTTATTAGATCTGGCAAAAATGACACGACCTGTTTTTGACTCGAGACCCAACCCAAAAATACTGTGTTTTGAAACTGAACGCGCACTTCACCAAACCCGAAATGATCCGCTAAAAATGGGTAAAACCCGACCGAACCCAAACCGAACCCGACCGACCCGCTAATCTAAGATTTTTTCAGAATCATACATTTTAATATGAAATAAAGTGTTTTAAAAATAAAATTATAATTATTTTTCTTTGCTTACTACTCGTTTTTTTGTATAGATTTATACCATTATAACAAATTTTAATGATGTTGCATAATTATCTTACATTTTTTCAAAATTTCTACATATTTAATTTTTTTATTCGTAATATTGACACTAAGTCATTAAAATTACTTAAAATTTCAAAAAAATAAATGAAACTCATAACTCGTTGGGTCAACTCGAACTCGATGACACCGGGTCATGAATATGTAATTATCAACCCAAACCTGAACTTATCCGAACTCGAAGTAACGTGAATCCAAAGTGACCGAACCCAAACCCGACTTGACCGACCGATTTGCCAGGTCTAGATGTTATCAAAGTATCTCTTTTTAAGGAAGAAAATCTCATTTATTCATTGATAGTTTTATTATAAAAGTTGTGAAAAAAATATAAAATTAGAAAATTATATTCCATAATTGAATATACTAAAGAATGTTGTAATTATAAAGAATGTTAGTGTAAACATAGTATGTCTTGGTAATACATTTTTTATGAATTTTTAATTATAATTTAATTAAAAATATCATATTATAATAGATTTTAAAAATATTATATTTTTCAATTTAAATCATAAATAATCTAAGGACTTTTAAACCATAAAGTGTATAGTAATAAAGTCAAATCATAAAATCAATATGTTCGAACTATTAAATTATGTAGAGTATTTTTTTTCTATTGTAATATATTTATAGTTTAGTCATCTCTTATTTTATATATCGTTTAATGTAGTTTTTAAAATGTATTGTTTGTAATTAGCTACCATTGATACGCCGGAATTATTCAACGATTATAGTCCCAAATTAAAGAATCGTTGGGTTCGTAGTTGTTATGGAATAAAATCTTCATAATCTATAATCTCTTTGTTTTGTGTTTGATTTTGCCTAGAAAAGGAAAGGAGATGATGAAGGAATTCGGGAGGAGAAAAGGAAAGCAGCATGTGACTCTCTCCAGCAAAGAAATGGAAGACTTAACTTTCTTTTTTTTAAGATCTCCGTGATTTTTCTTTTTTTTCCTTTTTGGTTTAGGTTTCATGACACCTCGCCTTCCACATCATTTTTTGTTTTCTTAAAAAATGACTCATCAGCCTCGCCACATGTCGCGCCACAGCTCCGCCAAATGTCGCACTCCTGCAGCTCCGACTCTGCTTTATATATATAAAGGATTATTAAAAATACATTAAAATTTAATGTTAGGAATTTAAAAATGAAAAAAAAAGATAATTTACTTATGAAAAATCCCACATTTCATTTATTTGAAAAACATGCATTTTCCAAAAATTCTTTTAAGCGTCAGTTAGCTTTTTAACGGCGACCCAAAACTCGCACATATGTAGAAACGTGAGATTATTTCCGGTGACATTGAAAGGTGAGATTACTTTTGAAAGAGCGTGAAAAGGTGAGATTATTTGAGATAATTTTTCCTTTAATTTATTTGATTGTAAGGATAAAATTTAAAACTATTATTTATATAGTAAAAAAGTACATTAAAGTTCTACAAAACTAATAGTGACAAGGCTATATTGTTTTATGGAATGAGTAGTAAATATAAGCACAAGGAGTGAGTTAAGTTTGACCGTGTGAATAGTAACTGAAAAAATCTATGACGGTTAGGAGTAAATGTTTTAAACCTCTTCTTAAAACAAAGATTCCTCTAGTCTTTTTGTTGTATACAACTCAGAACCTGAACACACAAGTTAAAAAATCAGGTTGCTACTAATTTGGTATTCACATGCACAATACTTTAAAACATTTAAAATAAAACATGTATACAAAAAAACTTTAAATAAACTAAGTTAATCGGAGTAAACAGATTCAACATTGCGAAAAGCCTTTAAAAAATTTGCACTAAATAGGATTAAAACATAAGTCATTTCCTATTGTAGGACTTAAACATTTTTATTCCCTAAATGAGACTTAATAATGTCTAGTGAGAAGAATAATGTCCAAGTGATGCTGGACATTTAGTTGAATAATGACTAATAAATAATGACCAATGGTCCTACATTGAGAAATAAAAACATATAATCCTATATTGAGAAAGTCATTACGTTTTAGTCTTATTTAGGTAAACTATTCCTTCAGGTCAGCCACTTCGCCAAGCATCACTAACCGCCAGAATATTCATCCAATCCATGATTCGTACCTGTGTGCAGTCTATGACAACAAAAACTACACGCTCTACTGAAAGCTGAACGAGAATATATCTAATGCTCGAATTAACTTATAGAAGAGTACCACATACATATACAATCACACAACATTAAGTCACATCATCATGTCACATCTTTAACGATCAGGATTCAACCTAGTATATTTTCTTTTTACTTTAAAAATTCTTTTTTTAAAAATTTATTGTAATTACGAATAGGTAATGAAATAAGGAGTAAAAAAATTACATAAAGGAGCATTTAAAAACTATGGAGTATCTCAAGACTAAATCAAAATGAGCATTTTAAATTGGCATTTTAAAAGTTTGGGTAGGAATTGCATAGGACGAGAATTAACGGCGGTGATATACTCCGTCGTCCTCGACCTGCCTGCCGTTGGTAAGCAGACAGCAAGGCGCAGGTGCTCAGCTGTGCAGGCGCCGTTCTCCTCTTCCCGGCCTCGCTAACCAACAAAACCTCTTTTTAACATTTTTAATGGCTGATTCAGCCTTTTCCTCCCCATTTTCACACACCCACACACTCGTACGAACCAGTAGTACCAGTTTCACGGTCTGTTAATTTTCTTTGTCGTCTCTGTTTTCCCCCCCTTTATTCATCCCCCACCACTCCCACATTCTCTCTGGCTCGAACCGAGAGAAAACAAGAGAATTTGAAAAAAATGGTGGCTCTTCTCATTCAATCCCTCTCTCCCTCTTCTCCGTCTCTTTCTTTTCTACCTTCATTGTAGATTCAATCGATCGATTGGGTCGAATTTCAAGAAATCTTTCTTGATTTGCTTGAATATTTGATCTTTAATTTCGGTTTCTTTAATTTGCAGTCCTCGGATTCTCAGCAGCTTCTGCCGGGATGGTTGCCGGCGCTGTTGACGGAGAACTACTTCAGCGCCTGCATCGTTCACGAAGAGGCGAGGAACAACGAGAAGAACGTCTTTTGCTTGGACTGCTGCGAGGCCATCTGCCCTCACTGCTTCATCCTCCATGGCTCTCACCGTCTCTTGCAGATCCGGAGGTACATCTATCATGATGTTTTGAGGCTCAAAGATGCCCAGAAATGGTTCGATTCTGCTCTTGTTCAGGTAAGTGCAGCCCGAGGATTACAAAATCTCTCGAGGAATTCAAATGTTTGATTACCAATTCGTTAATCTTTAATTGGTTTTGCAGTCTTACATTAGCAATGGAGAAAAGGTATTGTTTCTGAAGCAGAGGCCGGTTTCAAAGCCCTGCAGAATCTCCGCCAAGCCCTGTGTCACTTGCTACAGAGCAGTTCAGCCTTCCTTTACTTTTTGCTCCATCTTCTGCAAGGTTCAAACAATTCTTGATTCGTAAATCTTTCTTTGAAGATTGAAATTTTCTGGGTCGTTTCAATTTTCTTCGATCTTCTCCAGCTTCAGCACTTGGTGAAAACAGGGGCGAAGTTGTCCGACCATATCTACGGCTGGGAATCGCCGGAGATTCAACCAGAGCCGAACTCGGGTGACGACGACGAAGAAGAAAAGGAGAAGATGACGCCGGAGACGGTGCTTGAACCGGCGGAATCCGTTTCCAGTGCAAGCGGCGGCAGCGCCGGAGGGAGATGGACGGACTGCCGCCGGATGCTTGCCAGCACGGAACTCGCCATTGAGATAGTGCGGAAGAAGAGGAGCAGTCTGGGATCGTCTTCTTTCCGGGCTTCGTCTACTCCTCCTCCGGCGACGGCGACGGCGATCCGGCGGAGGAAAAATCAGAGGAAGAAGGGGATGCCTCGTCGATCTCCGCTGAATTGACTGTTGTGAAGAGTGATTAATTAGAGATCGGAGGGTAATTAGGAGGTAATTAGAAGGGGATTAGCCGCTGATTTTGGTAGCCATGCATATAATCAAATGGCTAATCCTGTTTTTTGGGGAGGGGGCTATTGATAGTGACCAAACGGCACACTTTAGCATTGGGAAATGCTACGGTTCACAAACTCAAGCTTCACAAACTTCACAAACTTACCATTTTTGAACTTCAATAAAGAAAATTAAATAGTCTAAAATAATTTTAAAATGAGAATTTAAACCATAAATAATAAGTTTGTGAAGTTTGTGATCCTTCTGCTGTTTGTGAACGTAGCATTGCCCTTTAGCATTTGTATTTTTGACGTCTATCATCTTGCCAAAATTTGACACGCACAGTCATTTTGATGACGGAAAAGGCCCTTTTGTCTCTTTTTTTGTCAAAGTTATAACCAGACTTTTGTTTTAAACGCAACTCTTTTGATACTAATTGAAAAATTGTTTTATTTATAATTTTCTATAAAAATAAAAAGTCTTTTTTTAAAAAAATACTGCATAATTTTTATATTTAAGACTATCAAAATTTTTATAAAATAAAAAGAAACAAAAATATTTTATTTCATCAAATAATTAATGAAAATATACAAACAAATAAAAGTTATCAAATTTTTTTTAAAATAATAGTATAAATTCTTTTGGGATTGGTTGAGCATTTAAATTGGTCTTGTGAATTATAGGGAGTGTGTTGAGGTGCATTCTTTTCTTTTCGATCGGATTGTTCCAACATGCCCTAACAAATGAGAAATTAATTAATTATATATTTTTTGAATGTTAGTGGTACTATTATAATATATTATTTGCTCATACTTTTTTTAATCTAATTAATTATATTTTTCTATATGTTTATGCATTTAGTTTGTTACTTTACGTTGCGTAGTATTTTCCAATACTTACTGGTCTCTTAGTTTGTCTCTTGAGCAACATTCACTACAAAAAACTGCTGAAATGGCGACGGAATTATTCCGTCGCCAAACCCTGATTTCCGTAGGTAATCTCTATAACGACGGAAATAACGATGGAATATGTTCCGTCGTTAATTTTTCGTTAGTAGTAAATGTAACGACGGATTTTTGATTCCGTCGCTAGTCTACGACGGAATTGGCGACGGAATTAAGCGACGGAACTCACGACGGAAACTTTCCGTCGCTAATCCTGACGACGGAAATAGCAACGGAATATTCATTTTGACCATATAGCGACGGAAATGCAATTCCGTCGCCAATTTGACAGGTTGTACCAGGAAGCTGCTGTTTTTTCAATTTTGCACACATCCATAGCGAAGCTCAGAAATCCCAGCATCAAACAACAACAATTACTGGAAATGAAGATTATCAAACAACCAAGAATATTCAAGTCACCAATGTACAACTAAATTTCAAATAATATTTATAAAAATTCAACATAAAAATCAAATCTAACTCCACTTACATAACCATAAAACTTAAGTTTAATATATTGTTCTTCAATTCTAATATAACACTCAACAAGCTCCTGCAAATCCCGCCCCTCCTCCATCTCCACCGCCATCTCCATTTCCATGTGGGAAAACTCCTCCATAAAGTCGGGTCATCTCTTATCTAATCGACAATAATTCACGAGCTTGGGAAGCCCTAATTTCATCTAGCTCTTCTCTCAACCTCCGAATCTCATCATCTCGAGGGTCCCACATAGAGCTGGTTGTTAGAGTATATAACAATCATTCCTGGGCCACAACCACAAGCTTGAGCTTCTGGTTGAATCGGTTCCTTGACATGGTATCAAAGCCTTGATGACCAAGAGGTCACGAGTTCGAAACTCACCGCCACCCAATTTAAAAAAAATAAGGTTTCACGTGCAAGGCTCAAAGAGGTCACGCCTACACGTGAGGGGGCGTGTTAGAGTATATAACAATCATTCCTGGGCCACAACCACAAGCTTGAGCTTCTGGTTGAATCGGTTCCTTGACACTGGTGCTAGCACGTCTTGCCTCACTTGCATGCATTCGTGGTAGGCTCCGTGCGAGATCTCCAACACCATAAACACGATTCTTGGCATCATGTCCTCCGACTGTAGATAGAAAAATCTCGTTAGGTGTCACATTTAAGCCCTCTTCACGAACTGCCTCCTGCATGGCTGCGTAGTTTTGCTGCAATACACAAAACATACATGTATATATACTTTGTAACATAAAAAGCAAAATAAAATGAGCAGTATGAATTCACATTCAATTGAATCCAACGAAAACTAATCATTTATATATACATTACATATATTCATTGTCACTTACTGATACTTTTTCTGTCTTCTTATTGACGTAGGTCTTCCCATCATGTTTCTTCGTATGTGTGTGTGTGTACGAAGAGTACAAGTCAGAAGCCTTTCCACTTCTACCCTAAAAAAATAAAATATATAAATAAGTGAAAATACGTCACTTAGAACATTTAAATGTAATTTTTGTTACTAACAATACTTACAAGGCGCGCTTGAGTCTCGCGAAAAGACAATGGACCACCGGTGTGCGTGGCGCTAGCAGGGGCATTCTCGTCACCGCCATGCCGATTTTTCTTGTTTTGCTTGGAGGATGCCAAGAACTTTGGTGACTTCCAATACTGTTTAACAACATATAAATACAAGAATACAAATATATACACACAATTTGATGCTAAGTATAACATAACTCATCAATTCAAAAGATATTTAGAAATACCTCCTTCCACGATTGCGGTACAAGTGGCTGCACCTTCTCTGTTCCTTTCTTCTCATTCCTAATAGATGAGAG